TGATGTTTATTCCATTAAAATGTTGAAAAGGGTCACACACAAACCACATTGAAAAAAATCACTAATACTATCAATGGGACTAAATTGTTAAAGTCGTAGGGAAATCATATTTAAATGTAAAATCATTCTGGCTTAAACATGTATATAAGTGCACTCTTTATCAGACTCTAAGAATATTCAACGTTCTCATTCTCTCTCGTATCTTTTCAGGTCTCTTCATATTTATCTTCCACTGCGCTCTGAAGGAAAATGTGCAGAAGCAGTGGAGAAGATACCTCTGCTGTGGCCCCTACAGACTCTCAGAAAACTCAGGTATCCGCCCAGCCGTCCGTCTACCTGTCTGCTTTCTCCACAGGAAACTCTCTGGATTTGTCAGCAGGCCTGCTGCCAGGTTCACAGAGCTGCAAGAAAGAAGAGAAAACAGGACGGTTTAATAAACTCTAAGTCACCTGGGCTCTGCAGCTAATAAAAGCAGATAAAACACAGCCGTCTCTCGGGGAGTGGAATGTCCTCCAGGTGCAGTCAATCTAAGGACGCTCTCAACAACATTCATTCAGTTTGAAGTTTGACTCCATACTGAAAGAAATCCTAATTAAGTTTGTCTGTGCGCCACCGCCTCAGAACCGAGGAATTCCTCCTCAAAGCCAGGATCACGGTCATGTTCCTGCCGTCCCTGTGTGTGGGATGAACATAGCGAAGTAAACAACCTGCTCTGTGCCAGAATGGTGCAGTTAGGAGGGGCTTCCCGCTGACCTAAGCTTTGACCTCATTCATGCCGTTTTTCCCACGGCTGGAGCTCAAAGATCGGGTCTTTGACCACACATCTCTGTTCTCCTGAACTCTTTTACAGGATTCAGGTGATCAAAGAGAATTAATTTGTGTTGGTTGAGGCATTTCTGGGTTGTTCTGCTATCGGTCATCTGGTTTTAATCATTATAATGTGCTGGAGTTTATAGATGTCATCATTCACTCTTAACAAGGCTTCTAGGAGAGAAACAGGCCCACAGCATCACTATGTTTCACATCCAGACCTTGCCTAGACATGGCTGTAGAAATCTGAACACAGGGTCTAAATGTTTATCCTGATATTTTTCAAAATAGATTTAATTAACTAGATTAAAATCAACAGCTTAGGTTAAGATAGCAACTTATATTTCAATCAGAATGAAGGATCCTGAAGTTTCTATGACATTAAGAGACTTATAGACGAATCTATGAGGTAGATGTCTAACTGGATGATGTCTATAGCTGTTTTACTCTGTTGTTATATCCTAGGAGTTTATTTATTTGCATCAATTTAAAATCCTTGAAAGCAGTGGCAGCTGGTAGAGTTTTCTCCAGGGGTTGCTATAAATTCAAAATAGACTTATACCAACTTATACCAAAAAAAAATTCATGTTCAGGTTTACTTTTTGTACATAAATCTTGTCCTTCTGAGGCTTTGTGATGGTAAATCTGCGTTTTGCATGATCCAATATTGTGTCACAAATTTAACAAAAAATACAATTTATTATTTGAAAATGTGTTTATTTATGAGCAACTAAGCAAATTAACAAACATCTAGAAAAAGTAGACTATATTCTATTATTTTCCACGTGAATCTTTGCCTTTTCTTACCTTTTCTTAAAAGTGCTTTAAATCAGTCCTAGCCAGAGATGGCAAAAGTACTAATTTTCCGTACTTGAGTAAAAGTACCGATACTTCTGGTAAAAGTGGAAGTAATGATTAAACTTCTTTACTCAAGTAAAAGTAACAAAGTACAGGCTT